ACTTGATTGATTCAGTTTCCTAACCCTAATCATTTAACTTGAGGGTCATTTGGTGTTTATGGTGGCCATTCATTGTTTTGCGAAAAGGGACCTTTATCTATTAGAGGATTATCCTCCTAAAGATTTCAGTTATCATCTCCTAAATAAATACCATCATCAGTACCTCAAAGACGGAGTTGTCAATAATTTTGCTGTCAAACTGAGAAAATCATGAACGCCTGAAAATTTTCAGGAATGTTGATCGTGTAGTGACAAATCACCATAAAGTTCAGGACGAGCAAACCTCAAAGGGGTGAGGGGTTTTAAGTTTTTTTTTTTCCGAAAAAGGAGGGGCTTATATCTATATACCTGGAATAGAAAAAACGATCCGAAACAAAATACTTTTTGCATTTACTGGTTTTTAATTAAGCTTCAAAATGTAATAGTGGAAGCTTAGGGGAGGACTTATAACCGGGAGGGCCATTTTTTCTTGTTTTCGTATTCACTTCTCACCATCTGAATGCCTAAAATAGGTTATCATAAGCTATATAGCTGTACTTTCGTATCTGGAACAGTGAAATGTAGAGTGATATACACTTTATATAGACTGTATCCTTTAAAAGACCCCCTTAAGAAGTACTCTTTGAGCATTACACAACCCAAAAGCATTTTCTTAGGTAGCTGCTCTCGTCTTTTTTTGAAAGAGGAGTGCAAAGCCTGGTTTGAAATTGGGGATAGAATTTTGGATAAGACCTAAAATAGGATAGGGAAAATCACATAGTTTGGTCAAACTTTGGTAAGGCAAGAAGCATACTGCATGCAGGGCCAACCTGAACTGATTTTTTTCCAACTAGGAAAGAGTTTTACCAGAACTGAATCAATGACTAGAAGAAGCAAGTTTTAATTTGGCTCATTATATGTCAATAACCAAGTAAACTAAGATGCCATATGCTTTAAGCTAAGGCTGTGTGCACGCCCAAGGAGGGGGTGAATAGCAGAGGTGGTTAGGATTAGCTGGTAAACTACAATATTACTGTTGCTGAAGCTATAATGTTACCCACCCTATCGAAGGTGACATACTGCAAAATCCAGTTGTCGTCATCGACAACCACTTGCTCCTGCAGTATGATGCCAAATAAACTACTCTAGACTGTTGTTCATTTACTGTTTTATTCATAAACACCTCAGTTGTTCATAACATTGTCAATAAATCTACATTAGGCCAGTTTTCATATAATATATGCCTAATTTTAAACAGTTTCTTAAAATTTTTCTCGTATTTTATAACTTTTAAACCAAATTGTTGAGAACATTGTGTTACCTTATCAGATAAATGACATAATTATTTATGAAGAAAAATTGTGCAATAGCTGCTTCTTTGTTAACTGTTCATTATAAACAACCCTAGAGGCCCATGTTTGTCTTCGTCTAAATGGCACATGACTGGAAGCCAAGAAAGGACCGTTAGGGTGAGAGAATATGTTCTTACAACACATTTGTAACAAGTCGGCCACAGAGCCTTTCATATCACAGCCCAATTCTCACTGCTAAAATCAACACTATCAGAGGGCCTCCAGAATTATCTAAGCATGATTAAAGCATTAATATAGCGGAAGAAAATGTAGATTGGAAAGAATACTTGCCCTATCATCTTTGCACAAAACTCTGAAAAATTGCTTTATGCATGCAGCCTAAAAGATTCATAAGCCATTCAGTTCTGGCTTTGTGCACCGAAATCAGTGCTCTAATGAATAAAGGCTTGAAACAAAAAATTATCTTGACCTATTAGTATAGCAAAGGAGATGTACTTTCAGCAGAAAAGACAAAAAATGAAAAGCACATTGTAATAATTTAACTTATTACGTACATATCATTTCTGTAATGTAGTCCTTGAGCTTGATTTCCTCTCTTACTGTAGCACTGACGAATATCCAGAGGAATTAGACAGACTGATTAGATTTAATTACGGCATACAAGAATCGATTGCTCGACTTTTAACTTTTAATCTATATGAGCAATGGCTAACCATTCACTCCTCCTTTCAGTTTCCCCCGAATGCGACGGTCGATACAGAGGCAAAATTAGCCCACAACGAAGGCAAACGTTTTTTTTTGTCAAGGCTCGTTGTTCTCGTAAAAACTTCTCAAACATGACCTTCAATTCTCATCTTCACTGTTATTGCATTGCATTCAGTTGCTAACAAAACAGGATTGTCGCGATCGACGTAAACCAGACACGGATTTCATGTTTGCAGTCCGAGAGGGCAGGAAGTAAAATGTTATGCGAAGTAGATTATATTTTTAATTTGCTCTCCGCACTCAATTTTCTTCAGCCAATGAAAAAAATCGTATTTTTCTTTGGGCCCAGAGTTAGTGGTCGGTTACAAATTAAGCCGAGTGGCTCTGGGGACGAGAATGGTTCGAGCTGGATTGCCATCAGCCTCGTTCCCAGGGTTCTCTCCTACCCGTCCCTTCAGTGCGAGGGTAGGAGAGAGAACTTGGGAACGAGGTTGGATTGCCATGGGAATTAAGAACGCTTTTAGTTGACCTGACTAATTAGATAATTAAATCCGATTTTTATCTTTTAGACATTTTTAGTTTTCACTTTGTAAATTCTTGCCAATTTGTAGTTCTTATCGTATCTTCATTATTTGTAATACGCATATGAATATATTTGTATGTCATATGCGCAATATGTTTCATATTAACTATTCTTTAGTATTTACCAAATCAGTGAAGTGCAATTTTTGCGCGTTTCGATTGGCTCCGGTAGCTCGGAACATCCTTGGCTATTCACTGTTTTGCGACCGGAGCCAAGATAGCGTCTCGCTTCGACACATTTTCGGAGGACGAAATTTGAGCGACGGATTAATGAAGCAGTGCTACAAACAAATACCAAGAAGGCGAATAACTCCGACACTAGTCGGTGTTTACTGGTAGGTAGAAAATTATTTTCACTTTGAATTTGCAGCAAAGTAGTAAAAATGCACTTGACAAAATCCCCGAAATGTTCGTAAATTGGAAATAAAGTTAATTTACAAAAAATTACTTTTTTTCATTTTTATCCAACTGATTTGGTAAATACTAAAACAACTCCCACTTCCGGGGATAGTTGTATATTATGGGCACGTCAAAATTAGATATTTAATTGAGTATACTTTACACTAATATTTATCCCAGATTGGGGTATCTTGAGTGATCTCATGAGTATTGTGGCTAACTTTCTCGTAGTAGGATAACTGCATATTTCTTAATCTACACGTCCTACCTAACTTGGCCGACCCAAAATACTAAGATGAGCATCTCATTTCTAAACTTATTTTTCGCTGGACATGTTAAAAGCAACAACAAATGAACTCTATGAGGTCTCCTAAAACTGGAAGTCAATTATTTAATACCTATTCTGGCTGGGGAGGTTCACGCGAAAACAACTCATCACATGCTCCGTTCAAGAACGATTGGTTGTACAGCGGATTGTTAGATTAGGGGACTATGTCACGCATCTGCTATCTTTTTGAAAAGCTAAAACGTGTGTTTGCATCAATAAAATATTCCAAAAAACAATGGTCCAGTTTTGTTATTTAAGAGTATATTCGCATTGAAACTGTTTCCTGTCGTCTGTTGCTATGGATAGCAACCAGCTTAACTGCAGTAAAAGATGATAGCACTTGATCCGGTGGGGATGCAGGATGGTGAAGACGATACCAAATGTATATCGGGGATCCATCTTTTTCTTCGTTGGCCTGCAATCGATTTAAGACAGCAACAACCAAGTTAGTCTCCTCTACTTTGTAAAGGTAGGGTGAGCGCCTAATCCCTTAAATAAGTTCTATAGTTACCGTAAACCCTCTATTAAGCCACCGGGGGGCTTATTTATTTCAAACACATTTGAAGGAGGGGGAGGGCCTAATAGAGATGGGGGGGTTAATTTGAAAGTGGGGGAGGCTTTTATAATTTAGCAAAGACGGTGGTATCAGTTTTCCATAAAGAACTAGAACTGCAAAGTGTAAAAGCTCTAGTACATTGGTTGTAGGTCATGCAGCCGAGGATCATAAACTAATCTAAAAGTCCAGCAGGTGAAAAAACTATCGTGGACCTGTCTACATGAAGTGATACAGTTGTGATTTATAAATATAGTATATCATTTATTATTGAAGAATAATAAGGGAAGGGGAGGGGGAGGCTTTATTAACTTTCTTTCCCTGATAAGGAAGAGCTTATTTGAGAAGAGGGGGGTTGGGGGGAGGGGGTATTTGAGATGGGGGTTTAAAAGAGGATTTACGGTATGTGTGGCCTAAGGAATATGGATTCCTTTGACCTGAAATTGGGTGTAGATTTTGGGCCCGAAATCAGGTGAACCTAAAATTTGTCCTCCCTGGAAGAAAGGCCCGGAATTGGGTACGTTTTTATTCATTCGACTTTTGAGACAAGCGGTTTAGGTCAGTAGGAAAAAAACACTTTGCCGCATTTGTTAGGAGTACCCCCAGGAGGAATTGCCCTGCTCACAATACTCTTTCTTCCGCAGGTGAATTAATTCTTGAAGCCGTGAATAATTCTTTAACTGAACATGAAAAGAAATATTTATTAGTGGTCGAAAACAAGTGAAGACAGTAATGGTGATAGACTCTGAAAAGTTAACGGCTTATAGATGAAATCTCTTAAGCTTGATTTACTAACTTTATTATTTATATTTCTTTGATTCTTTTATAACCTATGAATGAAAGACTCAGGTGTGAAAATTCAAATGAAGCTACATCTTCGTTTCCCATTTTCTTGTTTATTACATCAGTTGTACAAAGTGTTATTCTTATTCTGCTGATCTGTGGATTAAATGACTACTTTTCTGTCGTCTTGTTTGTTTCTCAATCGTACTCATTGCCGAAAGTGAAAGGCTTGCCGGTCTCCAAACAATCAGGTGCTAGAAATCTAAGAGCCGAGCCAAAGATAAAAGCCCTTTCATTTCTCAAGTCTACGAACATGTGATTATTTTTCTATCTTATCTTACAGAGAGTACCTCACCTTTCATTGGCCAAAATTCAATGTCACGTCATCACCAATCAGAACGAATGGCGCCCAGTGCTTCACGGCATTGAATTTTTCCGACTCCCGCATCCTTTTCATGGCCTGATGAAGCGACTCACTTGCACTTTGCCCTGCTACTAAATGATCGTAAAAGTGTCTCATAAACGCAAGAGTGGCTTCGTCATCAATCGCCCACAGTGTCGCAATAACAGAACGCGCACCGGCTCCTAAAAAGGCACGTGCAATACCAACCACTCCTTCGACTTTGATATTTCCTCGGCCACTGTTGCAGCAGCTTAAGACAACAAGCTTGGCGCGCACTTTTGCATCCAAAACATCTGCCATCGTCAAAAGAAAATCTTTCTCTTTGGGTATTTTGACATCAGGAAAATTAGGAGACAAAATAATTTCTCCGTTTTCTGTACGGCCATGTGCTGCTATGTGCACTAACGAAACTGAGTTGAGCCCGCTTAAGACCCGATCTTTTGTAGCGTTCTTTCCGGTGAGAGGCTCGATGTTTAGAATTTGTCCAATCATTTTTACCTCTTCCTCAGCACCTGGAAGCGGCAGATTGCAGCCTTTGATTTGTACGGTTTCCACCCACGGGTTTCCAACAAGTAGAGCCCCCGATGAACTATGGCGGCCCTCCGGACATTCTGCCAGTAGCCTTAAGCTTTTCAGTGATGGAACCAATCTAATTCTAAGCGTTTCAGATAAATACCTGGAGTTTTGGTCCACAAGGGCAGCGTAAGGAATCAAGAACGTTGAACGGTCAGGGACGATGACGAGTTCGTCACCTTCTATCGAGTGTGAAATTGGAGCGATGAATATGTCGTATAATACTTTTAAAGCATCACCCTGATCTTCAATGTCTTTCCGTGAGAGAATCTTTTTCCACAGACTTTTGTTCACACCAATCTGTTTGTATGTTTGGTAAGTCATTGATGTCAAGTCACCACTAACTCCCTGTTGCACAAACCTACGCAGCTTTCCCCCCTTTAACAGCATCCAGATTTTTACTGATTGGGTCAGGGTGTCATCCATCAGAAATAACGTGGGCGACGAAATATGGTTTGAAATGATAAGTTCCGTCTGCTGTTTCGACAGCGAACAGATTGATTTCCTGACGCCATATTGCGATTCCAAGAGGTCCATGAGAGCTTCTGCTCGTCCCGCCTCAGCTGTTAAAAGTGCCTCGAGAGTGTTACGTTTAGTGCGTTTTTGTAATTGAAGTCTCACTAAACTACTAACGCAATCACGTTCATTCCGAAACCCGATTTTCCACTCGTCGTTTCCTTGAAGGAGGATTCTCATTTCCTCTACCAGTTCAATGCAGGATTGAAAACACTGCTCGGCTTTGGAGTATTCGCCAAGAGACCAAAGAACATAAGCAAGGTTATTATATCCACATTGTTCAGCGTCTTTATTTCCAGTCTCGTTTGCTATACTTCTGGCATGCTGATGAAATTCCATTGCTTTCTCGAAGTCTCTGAGAAACCCATAGACACAACCGAGGTTGTTACATATAATTCCTTCTGCATCTTTGTTTTCAGTATCTTTTATGATTCTTAAACCCAGCTGATAAAAGTCGATCGCTTTTTCCAAATCACCGAGAGAGTGATAGGCACCGCCAAGGTTGTTATATGTAGTTCCTTCTCCATCTTTGTTTCCAGTATCTTTTGCGATTCTTAGAGCCAGCTGATAAGACTCGATTGATTTTTCGAAATCACTGAGAGACCCATAGACAAGGCCAAGGTTGTTATATATAGTTCCTTCTCTATCTTTGTTTCCAGTTTTTTTTGCGATTCTAAGAGCCAGCTGATAAAACTCGATTGCTTTTTTGAAATCGCTGAGCGACTTATAGGCATTGCCAAGGTTGTTATATGTACTTGCTTCTTGAACTTTGTTTCCAGTATCTTTTGCAATTTTTAGAGCCAGCTGATAAAACTCGATTGCTTTTTTAAAATCGCTGAGCGACTTATAGGCAATGCCAAGGTTGTTATATGAAGTTGCTTCTCCATCTTTGTTTCCAGTATCTTCTGCGATTTTTAGAGCCAGCTGATAAAACTCGATTGCTTTTTTAAAATCGCTGAGCGACTCATAGGCATTGCCAAGGTTGTTATATATAGTTCCTTCTCCATCTTTGTTTCCAATATCTTTTGCAATTTTTAGAGCTGGCTGATAAAACCCGATTGCTTTTTTGAAATCACTGAGAGACTTATAGGCAATGCCAAGGTTGTTATATGTACTTGCTTCGTGATCTTTGTTGCCAATATCTTCTGCGATTTTTAGAGCCAGCTGATAAAACTTGATTGCTTTTTTGAAATCACTGAGAAACTGATAGGCACCGCCAAGGTTGTTATATGTACTTGCTTCTTGATTTCTGTTGCCAGTATCTTTTGCAATTTTTAGAGCTAGCTGATGAAACTCGATTGCTTTTTTGAAATCACTGAGAGACTGATAGGCACTGCCAAGGTTGTTATGTGTACTTGCTTCTTGATCTTTGTTTCCAGTATCTTTTGCAATTTTTAGAGCCAGCTGATAAAACTCGATTGCTTTTTTGAAATCACTGAGAGACTTATAGGCAATGCCAAGGTTGTTATATGTACTTGCTTCTTGATCTTTGTTTCCAGTATCTTTTGCGATTTTTAGAGCCAGCTGATAAAACTCGATTGCTTTTTTGAAATCACTGAGAAACTGATAGGCACCGCCAAGGTTGTTATATGTACTTGCTTCTTGATTTCTGTTGCCAGTATCTTTTGCAATTTTTAGAGCTATGTGATGAAACTCGATCGCTTTTTTGAAATCACTGAGAGATTGATAGGCACTGCCAAGGTTGTTATATGTACTTGCTTCTTGATCCCTGTTTCCAGTATCTTTTGCGATTTTTAGAGCCAGCTGATAAAACTCGATTGCTTTTTCGAGATCACTGAGAGACTGATAGGCACTGCCAAGGTTGTTATAACTAATTCCTTCTCCATCTTTGTTTCCAGTATCTTTTGCGATTTTTAGAGCCAGCTGATAAAACTCGATTGCTTTTTTGAAATCACTGAGAAACTGATAGGCACCGCCAAGGTTGTTATATGTACTTGCTTCTTGATTTCTGTTGCCAGTATCTTTTGCAATTTTTAGAGCTATGTGATGAAACTCGATCGCTTTTTTGAAATCACTGAGAGATTGATAGGCACTGCCAAGGTTGTTATATGTACTTGCTTCTTGATCCCTGTTTCCAGTATCTTTTGCGATTTTTAGAGCCAGCTGATAAAACTCGATTGCTTTTTCGAGATCACTGAGAGACTGATAGGCACTGCCAAGGTTGTTATAACTAATTCCTTCTCCATCTTTGTTTCCAGTATCTTTTGCGATTTTTAGAGCCAGCTGATAAAACTCGATTGCTTTTTTGAAATCACTGAGAGACTGATAGGCAATGCTAAGGTTGTTATATGTACCTGCTTCTTGATATTTGTTTCCAGTATCTTTTGCGAATTTTAGAGCTAGCTGATAAATTTCGATTGCTTTTTTGAAATCACTGAGAGACTGATACGCAAGGCCAAGGTTGTTATATATAGTTCCTTCTTGATATTTGTTTCCAGTATCTTTTGCGATTTTTAGAGCTGGCTGATAAAACTCGATTGCTTTTGTGAAATCACTGAGAGACTGATAGGCACTGCCAAGGTTGTTACATATAGTTCCTTCTTGATCTTTGTTTCCAGTATCTTTTGCGATTTTTAGAGCCAGGTGATAAAACTCGATTGCTTTTTTGAAATTACTGAGGGACTTATAGGCACTGCCAAGGTTGTTATATATAGTTCCTTTTCCATCTTTGTGTCCAGTATCTTTTGCAATTCTTAGAGCCAGCTGATAAAACTCGATTGCTTTTTTGAAATCACTCAGAAACTGACAGGCGACGCCAAGTTTGCCAAGGCTTACTCTTTCTGCGTCTTTGTTCCCGATCTGTCTGGCTTCATTCAATGTCATCTCGAAGTAATCCCGGGCTATTTTAAAATCACCGCGTTCTAAGGCTTTCATTCCAAGGCAATTACTACACGAGCAATTCGCTTTGGAAGTTTGTTCGGGGTTTCCATGTTTGCCTTTACTTCCTGGGCATGCCTATAAAAAAAAGTAAAACAAACCCTCTTTTGAAGCAAGTTATGGTATATTTTATGCAGCGATTTAACGAATTAACAATTTTTACTGAATCCAGCGATACCCACCTGAGACTGTGTTAGTTTAAGAGTCCATAGAACTTCTCAGAAGATTCCTCGGAAAGACCTCCAGAAGGAAATGAATGAAGAATTTGAACTTATAACTGTAACAATTTCACTTGCCGCCACGGCCATGAACGAAAACAACTGTCGAACTGCCACAGGCAGACCACCTTTCAGTGAAGTTATGCAAAGCATGTCACGTCACGTAATTCTACCTCACTATTTCACTCACGGCTGAATTTTATTGATAGGATTTCATGACCGTCAGTACTTTGCAAAAATAAGTTGCCGCAAATAAAAATTACCGCAAAAATTTTCTCCAGAGGAAATTAAATACAGTATTCTCTAATTTAAATTCACTACACAAGATTACAGTACCAAGAAGTCGTGTCTGTTAAATTACATCTGGTCTCTTTTGTCAGAAACAAATACTGACGCACACTTAGTATTGTTTGAAATATGTATTTCTATTGCACGTACTCAATAAAAACGACAATATTATCGATGCTGGATACTGGGTACTTTCTGAAATCGCAAAAATCAATCACCAGCAAGAAAAACTAGTCTGTCCTAATCGCAAAAATTATGAGTTCCCGCAAAACACAAAAAATCGCCAATCCGCAAAAGTAAACTCCCGCAAAAATTTCGTTCCACACGGTATCCGTCGGAAAAATGATCGGTCGTTTGATCAGCCTGGGCCAGGTCGTTATTTTTGGTTACGTGCGTCAGTTCAGGTTTATTAGAATACCTTTGTAATCACCAAATTATGTTTATAATTATGTACTTTAGTTT